AGGTTATATCCGAACGGAATGTGTATCTGATGAACATTTCATTTTTGCTTGGAAATTTATGTCAAAACATTTGACTTTGTTCGGAAACTTATTTTCGAACAACACAAATGTTGTGTACTGAAACAAACCATGGTGTGCAAATAGAATTTCCCTTAGTTCAGTCGAGGTGAAATATTATCCATAATATTATTGTGTTTTATTGTGACTTGATAATGCCAGTTTGTGGTCTATGAGGTGAGAACTTGTCACATGTGGGCTTTGGGAATTGTTGAGAATGGGTCAAACATTGTCCCATTTAGAGGGGTTAATTACACTTAGTACCCCTACACTTTTACCAAAATCTCACTTTAGTCCCTTCACTTTTAATTGTAACTGTCAACCACCTACACTTTAACTCAAGTTGCAATCTCATCCTTCCATCTGTCTACCGTTAACAAAGTTGACGGAACTTATCATTTGAAGCATATGTGACATTTTTGTTGTCTCATTAGCACCTTTACACTTCTATTAAAATCTCATTTTAGTCCATTCACTTTCAATTTCCATTGGCTTTATTAACAGTTGATGGACGGAAGGGTGAGATTGGAACTTGATTCAAAGTATTACAACAATTGAAAACGGAAGGACCAAAGTGAGATTTTGATGAAAGTGCAAGGATAGGAATTGTAATTTATCCCATTTAGAGATACAAGTGTCAAAGTGGGGCTTGTTGTGAGTTGAATTTTGGAAGAATGTTTTGTTTGAGAACATTTGTGTGAAGGAGATGTGGCTGAAAGTACATTGCTCCGTGCAAGGTTCTTTTTTTCCCCCAAGTTTTTTGAGTGTGGCTTAAGATAAATGTTTGATGGTGGGCCAATAAGTGGGGAGTGATTATTTATTATAATTACATGTTGCATGTGCAAGGTTGAGATCAGGTTGCTGGACATCTTTTTGTTCTTTGTCGAGCTAGTTGGGGGTGCTCTGGGCCCTTTTTGTATCCCATGCCTTGTCCAGTTATCAAGAAACTTGAGTCTGAAGAATTATGAGTTCAATACATCCTGTTTGGTAGAAAAATGGATATCCCTTGCTCATTATCAGACAATCACTTATGCACAAACCTCAATTGTGTGAATAGTAAATGTAATTGGCTGGATCTAGTAACTAGGTTGCTTGGAAAATAACCCTATTTGTTTGCTTGGTGTTGGTGGGAAGAAGAAATTGAGATCCTTGGGGACCTAAGGCTTTCCATTTTGAAACTTAATGATGTTTACCATCCTATCTATTGGCTCTTTCTTGGAGGTTTTGGATTTTATAAGGCAAATGTACCTTGAGTGGATAAGGCCTGGACATTTCCACCGTTTTAGAACAGTCCTTTCATAGCCGTATTTATTAAATTCACATCAAATCCTTGTAGGGTATATTATAGTTAAAGGTTCACACCTAGGCTTTGAAAAAATCCTATGGATGTCAAGGCTTGAAGAAAATGCATTACTCTATGCTAGGTAAGGCTCCTTCAGTCAAGGTTACATAAAGCCCTCAAGTTTATGCCCTTGAGTAGCTTTAGTAGGCTTCAGACTTAAGGCACACATTTTATTTTTTATTTTTTATAATCCAATCATATCATATCTTTTGACTTTATCTTGTTATTTTTTAATGGTCACTAATTTCTGTCTTATATCATATTCTCAAACCATTTTTTGTATTTTGTATTCTAAATTTAGGAGCTTACGCTTGACTATTTGAAAATGACATCTCTAGTGCTTAATTTTTAGTGTATAATTTTACAATAGATGCTTAAAAGTTACAATTAGATTTTATTATTGCAAATATGCTTTGACTATTTGAAATTGACATCTCCAGTGCTTAATTTTTAGTGTATAATTTTACAATATATGCTTAAAAGTTACAACTAGTTTTTTATTGTTGCAAATATGCAAATTGATATTTGATTTAGCTGATGCATATATCAATTGAAAAGATTTACGTGTATATTGATTTTTCTCTCTTACTTGATAAGTCAAAAACGTTTTCTTTGTATGTGTTACATATTTCACATTGTTTTAACCAGTAAGCATATTTGACATTCATGCCTATCACACATGTGCCTTACCTCACCCAGGCTTGCGCTTTACCTCTAGGAGACCTTGGCACCTTAGTGCACCTTGAGTCTTAACAACTTTGGGTTATATTTTGTAATTGAACTGGTGAATTATATTATTTCTATAGTTTCTTGAACAATCAAGAAGTCACAATTGGATAGGAAAGCAGTATATATTTTGATACAATGGAGTGCTCTGTGATGGAAGGATTTGAACCTCTAAATAGTGTGTGGCCAAAACATGTTGCCTTACTACTTGGCTACGTTCCATTTGATTTTCTATCAAACACTAATAAAGAATAATATTGGTATTGGTTGATTGTAAATTCTGGTGGGGGAGTTATAGACACCTTTACATGCTCTGGATTACATGTCTTAGGGTTGGTTTGGCAAATGCTTTTTTGCTTCTTTAATTTTTAGGATAAAGTTGTGGCTAAAAAAGTTGATGCGTTTGACAAATGCTAAAAAGTTGCTTTTATATTGGTCAAGTTTAGGTGGGGTTTGGAGTTTTTTTTTTTTTCTTTTAAATTTTATTTAGTGAACTTCTTAGAAAGATCTGAGTAATTTTTTTTAATAAAAAAGAAAAATACTAAAGATTAAAAGGTTTGAAAAAGAAATGTAACTTTTTAGTACCTGCCAAACGGGGTGGATCTTGTTTGAAAAGTTTTTTTTTTTTTTCTGTGTCAACTGAATAAGCTTAACCAAATATTCAAAATCCTTTTAGCTTAAATAGCCAAAAAGTAGCTTTCTTTGTTGAAACCAAACAGAGCCTTAATTTCCTTTGCATTATTGCCCTTTATAGTTTTTTTTATCATGCACTTCAAGCCACATATAGGTTTGGCCAAGGAATGGGAAATATATATATATATTTTGCTGATAAAAAAAAATGTGTATATATATATAAGTGGCAAATGTTTCTTTGTTCTCAGTGCACTTGTACCAGCTGTCCTTTTACTTGCTTAGTAGTGTATGCTTTTTCTAATGATGGCTCATAATGTTTCAAGTGCACACTTAAGTTCACTCTCCATGGAGCAGTCAACTTGGTGACAAACCAAATTGATAACCAAGTTGATGAAATGATAAACAGTAATCATTTAGAATTTATTAAAAAGAAACAGATAAACAAAATTACCCAATTAGTGACAACAGACCAGTTGAAATTAAAGGGTAAGAAAGCGAAACGTCATCATTAGGCTTCATTTTAAGTGAGGAAACTCTAATCCATTCTTCTTCTTTTCCCATTTTTGTTTTGGTTTGGTTTTGTGTGTGTGTCATTTAGCCATGTTCAAGATGGATGTTAGGTTCAGTGAACAACAATTTTGCCTTTTCTCATTAACTATTTTAATTAGGTTCAATGAGCAGTAATATTGATTTTCTCTTCAATTAACTGTTTCAAGTAGATATTGTGCTTTATTGGCTTCTGGTGGCACTCTCCTTACTATGTTAAAAATTGCATGGCATTGGGCAAATCCTTTTTTTTTTTTTTTTTCATATTCTTCTCTTAATTCAAATTTTGTTCTCATATTTTATTTTTAGAAGTGCTTTTTCTTTTTCTGGCTCTATTTTATATGCAACTGATTGTTTCTCTGTGTGTCATCTTTGTTTTAGACGAATTTCTGAATGTTGTAACACACCAAAAGTCAAAGTGCGCATATACAATAAAATACAGTGCTTCCAAAACAAAATTCACCTTAATATTTGCTCGAAGTTCTTTTAAGTGTATACTTAATGGTGTACTTTTCTACAGTGTCACTGCAAATTGTATATGGACATACTATGTAGACTACTTGGGCTTCTGGGTAACTAGTTCATATATTACCTTAGCTTGGTTGATGATCATGGCCGGACATAGCATGAACTCACAAAAGTGTATTTTTTCCCTTTTAAAAAAAAAATAAAAAAAAAAAAACTGCTTGTATTAATGTATCCCTGTACTGTAAATGTTAGGTACTTCTGCTGATGTGGCTGAATATCAATGTTTATAATTTGGTTTGGTAACTGTGTATTTGCTTTTCACATAAAAGATGATGTGCATACAGTAATTTTTTTTTTTCTCATTGAATTTTGTTGCACAGTTGGGCATATTAATGTGTCACTGTGTTGTTTAGATCTGATCCAGATATAGAGATTTCCTTTTTATTTTAATTTTTCGGCAATTTTCAGAATTTTTTGATATATGGATTTTCTTCTACAACCAGGCATGTTTCCTCAAAAAAACTATCTGGTTATTGCGTCACTTCATGGCACACGTGCTATTTTAGAAATCTTTGGCTTGAAACAGGTTGTTTTTAATTAGTGATGACGTGGTACTCTTATTTGCTTATATTTTATTTATTTGAATTATGCATCATCCGTTTACCTTTTCAACTTTTAGCGGGTGGAGACCATGTGGAATGACATATACTCATTTCAAAATCTTAGCAGCAATAGGTTTTAGAAGTGGATTTGTGTGGTTCCTGGGATTGTATTATATCGCATTATAAAAAGTATTAGGACATAATTAAATGTGTTGTTTGATCTATGTGAAACATGTGATTCTGCATATAGTGAAACATGTGATTCTGCATATATAGAAACCCCCTTTGTTACTTTTGGCTGAAATGTGTAAATATATTATACCATCATTCACTTATTGAAGAACTAATACCAAATACATCACACAATTCCTCAATTAATTTCTCAACAAGTCTAAGTGCACAGAGGATCTGTGTCCCATTCGATGTTTCGTCTTTGTGTTCCTAGCATTGCTCTTAATTTCTTCCAATTATAACAAGTTGCTAAATTATCTGAAATCCTTATTACAGAACATTGCTATTGGAATGATTTTTTTTTTTTTGGTGTGAACTAAAACTAGAGGTATTTACTCCATTTTTGTGAAACATATGATTCATATAATGGTCATAGTTTAAGCATTTTGTTGCAGGGTAAGCCAGAGGAGAGTTTTTCCGGAGCAAAGCGCAAAGCTGTGACACCACCAGTGTCGGGTGGTAGTGAGCTTCCTTCGATCAGTGGTTCAAATAAGAAACTTAAAGAGGAGTGGAGTTGTGCACTCTGCCATGTTAGTGCGACGAGTGAACAAGGCCTAAATGAACACCTTCAGGGAAGGAAACACAAGGCCAGGGAGGCGGGACTCAGAGCGTTGAGGACAGGCAAGAACTATGCAATTGGGCTTTTCCCGAAGAAATCTGCAAAGCCCACCATTCAAATTATTGAGACCATAGATAATAAGATCTCAGAATTACTTCCTGTTAACAAAACTGGGGAGAAGTTATTGCAGAAAAAGTCAAAGGCGGAAGATGTGAAGCAAAGCAATAACTTGGCATTGCAGGTAATTTGTAAGGATACCAATGCTTCCTCAAATCATAAAAGTGGGAAGTTTTCAGGACAGAAAATGCAGAAAAGTGGAGATCACAAGAAGAAGTATAAGTTCTGGTGTGAAATGTGTAAGATTGGAGCCCACTCCGAGAAAGTGATGAATGATCATAGGAAGGGAAAGAAGCATGTGGGACGGCTTCAGGAGCTTAATAAAAATGCAGCTGCTCAAACGGAAAAGGCTCTGGAGAAAGAAAAAGAAGATCCAGAAGTGGTTGTCAAAGATGGAAAAGAAGAAGAAATGCGGGACAACGTTGACAGAGCTGCAGATGGTGATGACGTGGCAGTGGAAAATCCGGGAGCAGTAGCAGAGGGGATGCAGCTGGTAGTGGCATCAATTGATTGACGAAAGCGTTTTGAAGTGTAGATGCCGATGGATGGAAATTGAAAGAGAGCACTGTGATCTGCAGAAAAATTTTTTTTTTTCTTTCTTTCTTTGGTTAAAACCAACACGTGGCCTTCACAATGATATGTCACAATAGTTGTGAACTTTTGATTTGTTAAACATATGATGATTGAGGGTCTCATTTTCTGATCACATCATTGTGAATAATTTTGCGGATTAAATGTGTGGATGCTTAACATTACACTATTTTGTATTTGTTGTGAACCGAATAGAAAAAACAGACCAAAAAGACAAAGAAAAAGGGCTTGTCAATGAATTGGATTTTGCATAATTTGAATCCCATTTGATTATGACAAATCTTGTAAGATCTAACAGGGTCCCATGTTATATGTAGAGGTGTGCGGTGCAGTTCAAGTAATTTGAGAAAAATTATAAACCAGACTGTAAATAATGAATTGACAAATAATTAAATTACAATTTGAGACAATTTCAATTTATTAATTAATTATAAAATATTCTTAAATAATTATCAAGTAATATATAACATTAATTTACATATTATTTTTTATATCTATAATATAAACCAATTTAACATAACATTTTATATATATATAAATATTAATTTATAATAAATTTTACATCTTAAACCTATCTTATTTTTACTTTAATATTTTAAAAACATACATATTAATTATAACAGAATGAAACAATTTCAAAAGAATATTATAAATTTCAAAATTTGATCTGTAATTAGCAGATTAGCATGATCCAGTACAATTTTAATGGTATTTTACACAGCCCAACCATACGAGTCTCACATCTATATGAATATTAATTTTTTAAACATCTCTACCAATGATGCCAACAGCCATACTAACAAAACACTCTTTGGTGTCTTTACAAGTTCACCAAGAAACACGACAACAACAGCAACTACAAGAAACCCAAGTAAAATGAAAAAACACTAATAATATGGCATATTTTTTATTAGTTCTTCAACAACAAGAACACTAAAAGAACAAAAGAGACAAACATTTGGAGGAATCTACGGGCAACAATTCCAATTCCTTATATAATTGCTAGGTTCCAAATTTCCTTGTATCCACCGTCCTCCTAACTATTTGTAAATAAACATATGTCATCCAAACAACAACATTAGCATAAAATTTGATTCCTTAGCCAATATATTTCTACCATTTCCATCTATATTCAACATATTTAAAATTAAAAAAAAAAAAAAAAAAGGGAAAAAAAGCTATATTTTGCTTTACAAGGATAACAAAAGAGTGACCAATTAATTGCAATTGAAGAACAATTGACTTAAACCTTCAAGGCAACCTGGTCTTGCCATGAAATCTTTCGCTTCCCCGCCCGGTTTGGTCCGCTTCCAACATTCCTGCACACTGATAGTTTCAAATCATTGTGCTGCTCGTCACTTCCACCTCTCATCACAAGTTTCTTCGACTCCTCATTTCTCAACGGCTCGGAATTATCTAGTAATTCCTCCTCTCCCTGAAACATCGAGTCAAATGTCAAACCCACAACCAAAAAAAACAAAAAAGCAAGCAACCTCTAGCGTTTAGGAATTTGTAGTTCATAAATTATCTAATAGTTTACCGAGATCTGGTTTAAGTCGAAAATTGGAGCTCGGCTTCGCACAACTTCGTCCTTCCCGACGCAAGTCCTTTCCATCTGGTTTAAATCAAAAGCTAAAGCTGAGTTTCGGGGACCAGTTTCTTTTCCACTATATAACCTTTCATTTTGGTTCAGATCAAGAATTGGGAATGGGTTCCGAAATGAAGCTTCCTTTCCACCGTACGATCTTTGCTTTTGGTTTAAATCAAAAACTTGCGTAGTGTTTCTAAGAGTCGCTTCTTTTCCATTATGTATCCTATTCTTTTGGTTTACATCAACAACTGGACTTGGATATCTACGAGCGGAAATCCTTTCCCTCTGGTTTACATCAAAACCCGTGGATACCTTCCGCAGCTTCGCTTGCTTTCTACTGGACGTCTTCTCCTTTGGAGTTTTTTTGAACTGAGTTTCAAAAAATTTTGGTTGAACCAGTTCTCGTCCCTGTGAGGGTTTTGCAGCCTTGTTTTTCAATAAAAATTTCTTTCTTCGCCGCAGAAACCTGTGATTCAGAATAAAAGACCACAGCTTAAGTCATAAATTGCCATTGAAGTAAAAACAAACCATAGTCCACTAAATAAGCAAATGTTTTGTTATTATTTCATATCAAAATTTGATTTTGAAATTTTTTAGAGCATCTCCAACCCTTGACCCTTTTTTCGTCAAATTTGTTCAAGAATTTAAACTAAGAGTTTGCTTTGGTACGGCTCACTCAAATGATGAGAATAAAAAAATTTCATCAAATCTTTTTGAAAATACCTAAACTATCCCAAAAACTTTTTTTAACCAATTCAGGTGGGAAAAAAAAGAATCGAAAAGTAAAAGAAAGCCATCTCCAATATTTCATCTTTTGGAGAAAGATTTTATTCAAACCTGATTTGATGAAGACTTGATTTGATAAAATTTGATGAAGGATTTGGTAAAGGATTGGAGATGCTCTTAATCATTTTAATTTTAATGCATGTATAGGTTGAGAAAAACCAAACAAAATTCTCAACAGGTCTCCAAATTCTAAGCTTCACTGGAAATTGCATTAGAAAAATAAACAAGAGCATGCACCAATCAAATGAACTATAGAGTACAAACAAATTCCAAATAACAATTTTCCAGTTGCAATCTGGTTAAAAACACTGGCATAACAAAAAACACAAATGCAAACAAAACAAATCAAAACAATCCCAACTAGAGATGATTTACAATCATTGAATTTGGAATGTTGTAGGGTTAACATATGAAGTTTCAAAATACATTAAGGTGAAGAATCATACCGGACTTCGGCCAATAGGGTTAATTTCCTTTGTTTCATAGTCACCAACTTGGTTCTCATCCCTTCAGTTTCCTGCACAATGCTTTCCTAGTTTATTAATCATTCATAGCTAACTAGAAGATATCGATAACATATAGAGTAACAAGTACCATAGCAAAAATAATAATAATAATAACAATAATAAATTTACTGATTCATGAAAAAATTAATCAACATCCCTATAACATCAAGACAGCAGAAAAGGCAAACAGACATAGAAAATAAATGAAAAATCCAGGAAATGTTGGTCCAAGAGTAATAATTCTATCTAAATTCAAGAAACAAAATTTAACAACTAATAGATTGAACCATGAAAGTATAGATAATAACATGTGTGAAGGTAAAATTCTACAACAAAGATCCACGAGGAAAATTTATGAGAAGCTAGAGGAAAGAAATTAGAAATTAGAAATTAAAAATTAAATAATAACTATACCCAAAGGAGTAAATATAAACTACAAATAAACTTCAAAACCTAAAAGAAAGACAATTTATTATTATTATTATTTAAAAGATCAAAACAAAAATAAGAGAAATTTTCAACAGATCTTGAACATCCAGATCAGAGAAACAAAATACAATATCTGATTACATGAAAAATAGAAAAAAATAAAGTTGGATCTATGAAATTTTGAGTTAGTACTGGGTTTTCTTCCTAAAAGACTCATATGAAGGAATATATTAGACAACTACAAACTCTACCTACCAAAATTGAAGTAATCAAGCCCCAAATTCATCCAATAAAAAGTAACCCCACAAACACATACAGATCAAACCATCAAACCCAAGCATATATAAAAAAGGGGAAAAACAAATCAGACAACAAAAAATAAAAAAACCCAGAAAGAAATTTCAAAGAAAATCCTAGATCTATGCATATATAGGAAGAAAAAACACAGAAAGTTACTTTTTGCAAATCTTGGTAGTCCTGTAAGAGAGTCTGATGCTTGATCCTGGCCTTAGAATCCCCAAATCCACCATAAGATGATGGATCCAAAGCAACCCCTTTCATCTTCTTATTAGAAGAAGACATCAATCAGATCACAAAGAAATACAATGAAAGAAAATAGAGAGATAGAGAGAAAGAAAGAGAGAAAATACGAAATAATATAGAGAGAAAGAGGGAGAGAGAAAGAGACAGATATGGTGAGGGGAGAAAGAAAAGAGGTGGGCAAGAAATAATAAAGGACGAAAGGGGACAGAAAGAAAGGGAAGAGAGAGAGAGATGAGAAGGGTGTCTTGGTTTCCTGTTTTCTCTGTGAAGCTCTGACCAAGACAAAGCCCAAAAAGCCCACATAAATTCAGGGAAATACAATACAACATAGTTGTTTCTTTTGAGAGACAGTGAAGTGATGAAGATTGGAGATTTTTTTGGGGGGTTGCAGAAGGGTATTTGTGGCAACAACGTTTTTCTTTTTTTTCTTTCTTTTTTGTTGGTTGTGTATGTGAGGTGGGTTTGGTTGGAGGACATTTGAAGGCACCTCTTCTTTCTTCTCTCTCTTTCTTTTTATTGTTTTTCTTCTACATAAATTTTGGTCCAGCTGGGCCATTAGAGAGAGAGAGTTGGGTGTTGTGGACTATTCTTTGTTTTTGATAGGAGAGAGGGTATGTGGAGTTTCTAGGTTTCTTCTCTCTTCTTTCTTGTTGTAACCTCTGGCTTGGATTGATGATGATAAGAATGCTAGAGAGAGAATGGGATGATGATGATAAGAGATGAGAGGAGAGAGAGAGGGGAGAAGGTGCTGAAAAAGCAAAGGGAAAGAAGTTAAATGAATGGGAGAGAGCCTGTTTCACATTAAAGACTTCAAATGACTTAATTACCCTTCGGCTTTCTTATAATTTATACACATAGGGTGAAAACCAATAAGAAAATGGTTCTTCTTTTGTGTTGTGTGCATATTCTTCCTTCTAAGACAATGGCTAGGGAAGAGGTCAACCCCTTTTGATTTGACTCTAATTTTGTATTCAACAATTAATTAATATTATTTTATTTCTTTTATTTACAATATTAAGGGTTGATTTGGGATGTTCTAAAAAAATGTACTTTTTGACTTATTGACTTATATGGATTGGGTTTGGGTTGGGTTTGATGTGATGTGTTAGAGAGGTGATGTGATTTAAATAAGATGATGTGACTTAAATAGGATAGTGACTTTTTAACTTTTTGTATTATTTATGCCAAACCAACCCTAAATCTTTTAATTATAAAAATCATATATATATATATATATATATATTGTTTTAGATGTGACTTAAGATAATTTATAAAAGGTGAAAGTGATATATACAAGTTTATAGATGGGAGGATTAAAGGGATATTTATTAATAATTAAAAAGTTTTGATTTAAATAATCCTACAAAATTAAGGTAATTACACTAACTTCCTCTAACAAATCTTATAATTTTGATGGAATTATATTGAGTTTTTTAAAGTTTCATTTTATATAACACTTATCTTTATTTTTATCAAGAATTCATTAGTTATAGAGATGAAAAAAAATTGATAATTGTCATTTATTTAACATTAAAATGTAGTTTTGAATTGTTTATTCATATATCTTCACACTATTTGTATTAATTTTAGTTTATTTTTTCTTTTTTGTTTTTATATCTTCATACTATCTTATATTAATTCAAGTTCATTTAACCTAAATAAAATAGAGGTCGGTGTAATTTTAATTTTTTTAAAAAAAAATTCAGTGTGATTTAGCTTAAAATTAGGGGTACATTAGGCTGACTTCTCCTGTAGTTGGGAAAAACTACAATAAATCTATAGTTTTGACATAATTACAGTAACTTCTCTTTAAGTAAGGTTAGATACAAAGAAACCAATGCAGATAGTACAAAAAAAATAAAATAAAATAATATAAAATATATTTTTTCATGTAAAACAAATAATAACATTATTTTTTTAATCTATATAACTAACAAATTATTGATGAAAATATGAATTAAAATTTTAAAAAAACTCATTAAACGGTGGGTTTACTACAATTTTTTTCAAATCTCAATGGAGGTCAGTGTAATTTACCGTCAAATTAAATATCATTTTAATTAATATATCACTCTTTTGTTAACATTTTCCGTTTATATTTTTGTTTATTTTTGGGTTGGATGGATATTTATGTAAGCAATTTCACCATGTCCTCGAATGCATATATCACATTCCACACCTAACCTCTCTTATGCTGTGATGTGAGCTTCCATCTCCACCTGCCTAACAAAATTGGTGGCCAAACTTCATTCACAGGCTCAAATTTTTTAGGACAGATGTTGAAAGCCTACCACTCCCATAAACCCATACCCATGGAATGCATGCATTATTGATATCACAATCACATGGTTATTTATGTAATTTCCCCATTACCAAATATGAAAAGAAAAAAGAAAAAAAAAATATTTTGATTAAGTTCAGAATTTATTTTTGAATCTTTTTCAAAAACTAGTTTGGTAAAACAAAAGTAAAAAATAAAATCATTATTTTCATATATTTTTGCATTTTTTGAGAGAAACATAATTTTAGAAAATTCACAAATAATTTCTGTATTATTTATTTTTGTTAAACTAGTCTGTAATTTTTTTTAAAAAAATAAAAAATTCATAAGTTGATTTTAAAAACTCAACCAAACAGAGCTTGCGAGTCTTTAAAAGTCTACTAATATTTTTAGCACAATATAAACTCTATAATGTCAGGTTCAACTCTTTTATAATGTTTTTGTGACTGAATTATAAATTATAAATTATAAATTATAGATCTTTAGTATTCCTTAGCAAACAAACAGCCAAATATAGCAGCTCAAACGGTACAAAAATATAAAATTATATATCATGCATTTTGTAGTGTCAAACATTTTTCCTTGCGTAATATGTACCCCAAGCAACACTTTATGTTTAAAATTGATTTATCTAACTTCTAAAACTCTCCCAATGTAACTAATCAAGAAAACGAAGTAAAACACCTATTGTATATTGAGAGATTTCATTGTGTGATGAGATTAGATAAAATGTCTAAAATATCTCCAAAAATGTTTCTTATTAGAACATCTCCAAAAATGTTTCTTCTTTTTTTTTTTCTTTTTTTTTTTTCCTTTTTCCTTTTTCTTTAACTAATGCCTCTTCAAAAACTTGAACTTGATATCTTACTCATCTTGGCACCCAAGTACCCTCTCTACGATTGCTTGGGCAATTGGCCAAGGTCAAACTATTCTAATTTTTTCATCAATTTTTTTTTTTTAAAAGTTCTCCATTTATCACAAATTTCTTTCATCTGATGAGAAACAAACTATCTAAATGTTTAATGAATTTTTAATTTGATAAAAAAAAGACTATTTCTTAATTTAATGAACATTTTGATAAAAGAAAATTTGAAATTGAATTTTAAATATTAGAAAAATGTAAAAAATTGAAGATGTTAATCTAACAACACTAAGGCCCCGTTTGTTTTCAGAGGTAGAATAGAAGGGATTCATAATGAGGGGATTAAGTAAAATTATGTTTTAGTTGTTGGTGTAGGAATTATTAAATTATTTTATATAAAATAATAAAACAAATAAAAAAATATAAAAAATTAAACATTAATGTTTAAAAAAAATCCCAATATGTAAAAAATAAAAAAATAAAATAATTTCTAATCCCCTCACTACTTTTCTAATACCACCTCCATCTCCTCTATTTCAACTCCCCTTCCAACCTCCATCTTAATCTCCTCCTCCATCATAATCCCTTCTCCAACTCTACAAACAAACACAATACTAAGGGGCTGTTTGGGATGTCCTAAATAAGTGCACTTTTTGTCTTTTTGGACTAAAAAATTGAAGAAAAAAATATAGATTTTTGAGTTACTTTTTTGACTCTTTATGAAAAAATGTGTAATAAAAAATTGTAAAAATTGATTTGTAAAAAAAATTAAAATTGAAAATTATACAGCTGTAATTATTGACTTTTGATAAATAATATTAACTGTTTAACTTTTTAAATAATTTTTTAACTTTTTAATTTTTTCTAAACATACCAAACTTGACCTAAATAATTCTATCTCCATTTTAATGCCCTCTTATCCATTGCATCCAAAACAAGCGAGGCCTAATATCCACCCAAGTAGGGAAGGAGAATGGAAGGGACAATTTAGTAAATTGATTTGGAATGGACTTGATGTGAGACAACCCCCACACAGTATTGCAAATATATGTATTACCCATCACCATGATAGAATAGAATCTTTGAATTTTAAGCTAAAAACCCTCTCTCTCTCTCTCTCTCTCTCTCTCTCTTTCCTTTTCTTTATTGCTTAATATCCTAATATTAATTTAATATTATTATATAAAATCTACGAACTTGTTTGAGAAATTAATTATTTTAATTAGTTTTTTTTTATTTTTTTAATTATTTTAGTTTGATTAAAAAATTATGTTTGAGAAAATAATTATTTTTTATAATTAATTTAATAATTATAAGAAAAAAACAAAATAATTATAATTTAAATATACTATTTTATTTTAGGAAAAATTACATATACCTCCATCGAGGTTTAGCTAAATTACAGATACCCCTGAGGTTTCGAAAATTACATCCCGCCCCCTGAGGTTTGTATTTTCATAACAATTTGCCCCCTGAGGTTTATATTTCATAACAAATTACCCCATAATTTCTTATACAACTATAACATTCAGGGGGGAATTTGTAATTTCTCAAACCTCAGGGGGTATTTGTAATTTAGCCAAACCTCGAGGGGTATATGTAATTTGCCCATTATTTTATTAACCATTTTAACCTAATATTTTTCTTCCAAACAAGGCCATAAGTGTGCCTAGAGAAAGAGAGAGAAAGAGGAGTTGGTGCTTCACTATGCGCAAGGTTGGAGAGAGAGGGCATGGAAGAGGGAACATGTCAAAATTTTCTATTTTGGCCTTTTTTCTTGTCTCTCTCCTATTGTGTATTAATTAATGAAATTTTTTTTAAAGATTCCTGGTATTAAGATTTTATAGTATAAAGAATATTCAATATTTTAATAATGTCTAAAATCCTTTAAATTGATCTAGAGAAAATTCGATTCAGAAAATTTCTTTGGACTTCATAGAGAAAATCTCACTATTTCTCTAGACTTTCTGCAGAAATTCAATTCAATACAGAGAAATTTTCTCAAAATCAGAGAAATTCCCCTCTCTAACCTGGAGAAATTCACTCAAACCAGAGAAATTTCCCTTCTCCAACCCAGAGAAATTCCATTTTCTGTGATTTTTCACTTCGAGGCTCATTTTCGTCCTCACAATGATTCTTTTTGAGACAGATCAAGGACTTGAGATAGACGGAGCGGTAGTGTAGGAGAGGAAAGAGGAGGACGACCGGTGAAGATGGAATGTTGGGAGGACGACCGACAAGGGTGGGACACCGGAGATGGAGAGGAATTTTTTTGTTTCTTTGATTGAGAGAATTACACATATATATGGCTAATGAAAGCCTTGAATTCTCTCACAAAAATGTAGAACGTAATGACGAAATAGCCGAAATGTTGTTCCTGAGGAGGCGATTCTGCTTTTGCATCCCTTGCTTCGGCGGTTTAAACAGATCGGCGGCGGTAGGAGTGCAGTAGTGGCAGAGAATGAAGAAAGAGGAGGGGGAGAGGTGATGGGATCGGAGGATCAACACTCTGAAGAAGCTTCAAGAGTGGTCGGAGATCGTTGCCAGGCCACAGTGGAAGACCTTCATACGGAGGTTCAATTAGAACAGGAGTGGCGAAGGAAGAACAATGCAAGGAAAATTCCAATACAATCCTCTCAGTTACGCTCTCAACTTCGATGATGGCCATGTGCAGAACGGTGATTCAGACGAAACGTTTCGGAGCTTCTTGTCGCGGTACGCTTCGATTTCGATATCGGTGAAATCGTCCATGGATAACAATGTTTTGAGCTTCGCTTAATGGCAGAGAGAGAGTTTGTCATGACCCAAACCCGTCCCTATAGGTTTAGGCATCATGACCAGCCAGTAATCCTAAAATTACCGAAAGCCTCTTAAATAGATACATAATATTAGGGGCTAGCGGAAGCAAAATACAAACATACGTCGTCCATTCAGCTGCGCAGACTTACATGAGACAGAAAATATTTAAACTTTTTTTTTATATAGATACATATATTATCACATCACTCCTGCGTCATCTTATATATACAAATGAGACAAAAGGGACTTAGCTCTATATACAGAATAAACAAAAACTTAAACTTTAATCACATAGCCTTGGCACTTGATATATCTAAAACCTCCATAGGAGGTGCATAGGTTAGCTGACAAAAACAGATTCTAGGCAAACACCTTTAAACCTGATCACGCGATTGATCACCTACATACATGCACATATACAGTAAGCTAAAGCTCAGTTAATAACAACCGTGTAAAGTAGTTATGAAAGATGTTCTTACAATATTTAAAACAGTCTATTATCATTAGCAAATCAATTTCTCATTTTAGAATCATATTGTAATCATAATAGTCATATGTGATACATCCAATAGCAAAACAGTACAGTAGGTCATAAAGACCGAATATTCAAAATTGATGGACATGCCATCAATACAGTAAACAGAAGTTCTAAGAATTGAAACTGACAACAATCTTTGTAATAATAATAGTAAACAGTAGTAGTAACAGATGTTATAGATGTCACGAATATAGTTTATAAAACAGGACAATCATTCAATTAGTCATAAAGTATCATTTCAGAAACAAAATATTTTATAATTCAGAAAATACTTATAATTTAAATATATTTTTACAGGGTTGTTACTCACAGATAGCTCCATAAGCAAATTAGACAGAGTAGACAGACGATAGCTCGTGACCTACATAAACACATAACATATACACATTGAAACACTATATCACTTCCTTGATCAAACTTGACTTTTCTTGTCATTTTGCTGTTTAAGTAATCCAAAGTTCTACTACGCTTATTCCTTCTTTATTCAAATGAATCGGATTCTCATTTCACATATTTTTTTCATTACCAAATCCTTTTTTTTTTTTTTTCCAAATAGATTGATTTCTTACTTGGCTTCTTAATCAATTACTACTAAATCAATGCTTTCAAATTTTTTCTTTTTTTGTTTTATAAAACAAAAAATTAAAACTATAAAGCTCTTAGAAAAATATTTGCATGTATGAAATTTAATTCAAAATGAAACCAATTTTGTATTCTCAAATTCCAAATTTATCCAAATTTATATGTAATTTATTTTAATTATAGCAAACCCAATTTTAAACATACAAATTCTAAAACATGAATTAAGCTTTCAAAATATAATTCCAAACTTGGGTCCATACATGACTTGTCTAAAAATATACAAACTCTTAAATAATTAAGCAAACATGATCAATTTTAAATCATTTACATCAAAGCTCCTTTAATTTAAAAATTAAGCTCATTTACTCATAAACTCAAATTTTTCCGAAATTTTGCTCTTCTTATTTCAAAATATGAAATCAATTCTTAGAACTCTATGATGCATGTACAATTAGAGTATCAAAATTTGTAGAATTTGTTCATGCATGTAGAAATCAGACTCACACTCATGTAAGATATTCAAAATCAAATCCAAAATAATTACATGTAACCCATTTCAGGTTCAAAACCCAATTTCTTTCTAATTCCATGAATATAATCTCAAATCCTTCTCAATCTCAAGTATTATAAGATGATTCTACAAAATCAAATAAAAAATAATTAATTTGTAAGTTTATTTCCATAAACCATGAACTTAGCTTAATTTTCTTCTTCAAACCCATTTCCTTTCAAATTCCATAAAATTGATTCCATAACTTTCTTAATTTCAAGTAGAGGAAATATCATTTTCCCTCCCAAACTATCACGCATTTTTTATGCGCATCCCCATACTTCTATTTATTTCAATTTAGCACCTAAATTTTTCACAAATTGATCAATTAGACCCCAGCCTTCACCTTTCATCCACAATTGGACGGAATGTGATGAGTTGTCCCCCTGAACTAACTTTTAGAGGGAATATAAGAGGGTTTCCTTACAAAATAAGTTGGTGTGATAGACAGTTCAATTAGGGCTTCGTTGGGATCAAAATCTGTTTTAGAGTTTTCAAATTCCTTATTCGAAATCGAAATCAAAGTTCATTAGTGAACGAAGGGCACGAACTAACATTGAATCATGGGTTAGGTTCGAAGAGAGAGGGATGGCAAGCGAAGGAATCGACCAATTGTTTATGGTATTTACTTTTAATATTTGTTTAATTTGGAAGCTAATGATTATGAAAAATCGATTTATGATATAATGCTATTTTGATTTGGCATTTTTTAGAATACATCTTTATCTGTTTGTCTTTGAAAATGATTTGTTTAATCGTAATTGTTTTACTTGAATAGTGTAACACTTGATCAGCCCTTAAAAGAAACTCATTTTTTGTGTAATGCTTATTAAAAATCAATTTAGTTTAATCATTTTTTAGAATACAAAGTTATTTTATTTAATGTATTCATACATGGATTTCTTTAATTGAAACTGTCTTATGGTAATAGTAGTTTAATACTATTTTTATTTATTTATTAGTATAATTAGTCTATAATAGCATATTTTTTCATTTAAAAATGCAGAGAAAGGATCTTGTTATTTCACAATCAAAATGCATCATGGGGGTTTGGTTAGTTATAATACTCAGAGGGTTTATAGTAGTGGATTTATCAGTTATTTTGACTTTTGTAATTCTGATGAAATATCACTTGTAGAGTTGGATAATATGGCCAAGGAAGTAGGCTGCACTGGATGTAACATCTATTACTATAAGTTTAATTATTGTGCTGGGTTAGAGTTGATTAACACTGATCAAGATGTAATGAGGTTAGAGACACTTATGGATGGAAACAGAGTAGTAGAGGATTATGTAGGTTGTTTAGGAATGGATGGTGTTATAGGTGCCCAAGTTAATCAAGTAGGGTCAAGTGCAAAAAATAGTCAGAGAAATGGACTACTTGTAAATATACAAGTAGCAGAAGAGGAAGATAGTGATGACTATGATCCTAATCCTTCAGACCCTTCCTCATCTGATGAGTCTGAGAAATATGAGGATAGTGACTATGGATTTTCTAATGATGATACATTGTATGAGGCTAATGTTGACAAAGATCTGAAGTTTGCTGGTGTAGGAAGTAGTAAGAATGCAATGGCTGAGGCTGTTGATGACCTACAAAGCCTTGGAAGCTCCTCTGATGAGCTAAGAAGTATTGACAGCTCATTTGATAAAATAGGTACTTCTCATAGGAGGCAATACCCTGTTTTTAATGTTGACTCTGATATGCACAATCCTCAATTCAAACTTGGTATGGAGTTCAAGAGTCATGATATGTTTAGGGATGCTGTGAAGGAGTATGTAATTAAGTGGGGCAAACATAACATTTACCAAGAATGACAAACAAAAGGTGAGGGCAGAGTGCAAAGTTGGTTGTCCTTGGGTTTGTTATGCTTCATACGTAAAACATGATGGGTTGTATAGGATCAAAACACTTGTTGATGAGCACGCTTGTAATAAGTCTTTTGATGTGGCACATGTGAGTTCCAAATAGATTGTAAAGAGGTACTTTGAAATAATTAGGTTAAATTTTACATAGCCAATTCAGTCATTGGCAAACACTATTTCAAGTGAGCACAATGCGAAGGTTGACTTACAAAAAGTGAGAAGGGCAAGAAATAAGGTGTTGACACGAGTAAAGGATATTGCAGCTGAGCAGTTTGCAATGTTATGGAGTTACGTTAAGGAGATTAGGAATACCAATCCTGAGACAACAGTTCGCATAAAGGTGAAACAGATTCCAAAGGTTAATGAAGGGAGTAATCCAAGGGTTAGTGATGGGAGCAATACATAGTCAAAGTTCAAAAGGTTGTACTTGTGTTGGGGTCCATTGAAAAAAGCTTTTATGAATGGTTATAGGCCAGTCATAGGAGTTGATGGATACCATTTAAAGAGGTCACATGGTGTTATTCTATTGACAGTTGTTGGGGTAGATGCAAACAATTGCATATTTCCATTTGCCTATGCAATTGCTGAGAAAGAGAAGAAAAAAACATGGTTTTGGTTTCTAAAGCTGCTAGGACATGATCTGAATATTGTAAACTCTTATTGTTATACCTTCATGAGTGACAAACAAAAAGGTTTGATTAATGCAGTGGCTGAGTTGTTCCCAAATGCTTTACACAGGTTTTGTGTGAGGCATTTGTACAACAATTTTAAAGGTGAACACAAGGGATTGGTTCTAAAAGATCTGTTGTGGAAGGCTACAAGGGCAACAACTGTTCCTGTATTTACCAGAGTGATGGCAGAGATTAAAGAAGTTGATTGTAAGGCATATGATTGGTTAGTTGAAAGACCACCAATTCATTGGAGTAGGAGCCACTTCAACACTTTTCCAAAGTGTGACCTTTTGCTAAACAATCTATATGAGTGCTTTAATTCAAGCATCTTGGAAGCTAGGAGTAAACCTGTGGTTACAATGTTAGAGAAGATTAGATTGTTGTTGATGGAAACAGTTCAAAAAAGAAGAAATGCAATGCAAAGACGCAATGGTCCTATATGTTCTAAGATTCGAAATCATTTGGAGAAAATGAAAGTTCAGGCAGTTGGATGGATTCCTAAATGGAATGACAATGAGCAATTTGAGGTTGTAGGGCCATATGGTGAGCAATACAAGCTGGGACTTGCAAGCTTGGACTTGTGGCTACAGGAAGTGGGATCTGTCAGGCATTCCATGTGCGCATGTTGTGGCTGTTGCAAATTTCTTGGGTCAAGAGCCAGAAAAATATATTTAATAGTACTACAAGGTGGAGATTTATCTGAAGATCTATGACAATATGTTGAGTCCTATTAATGGTAGAGAAATGTAGCCAAGAACTGAGTATGCAAAGGTGCTGCCACCTGATGTGAAAAAGAGAGCTGGGAGACCTAAACAAAATAAAGAAAGGAGATTGAGGCACTAATTCAAGGCGCCAAGTTAGGAAGGCAGGGCACTAAAATGACTTGTAATAATTGTGGGAAGGTGGGACACAACAGGAGAAGTTGCAAGGTCAAGAGCAAATTCAGCTACATGCAAGAAAGCCAACCTCAAGGGAGCCAAACTGAACCAAGCCAACCTTAGAGCCAATTAACTACAGAAGTACTTGAGGTCAAGAGACAAATAAGACAGAAGAAACTGGTTGTCAGTGTTATTCCTTCTTTTCTTTTCTTTTTTAAATAGTAACTTAACTGTCCTAAATTTGATTGTGTTTAATTGTGGATAATTCAATCTTAACGCAGATTAAAAGAAGAATGGTACAAGGAAGTTCGTCAACTTCATTTCCAATGAGTTCAACCAACACACCAAAGGAGGGTTAAATGATGTGGAGAGGCAAGATAGTGTACAATGCTAGTGGCCTTAAAACGGCATCCACTAGACAGAAACAAGGAGCACCTGGAGATTAGAAGTAGGAAGCATCCATTACATAAAAGATTGATTTTTTTTTTTTTTGGTTGGATAGAATAAGGAAGCATCTACATGTCTTTCTTATTGGGGCTTTTTGTACATGTAATGATTTTTTGTTTGGAATGGTTACCCTGAACTTGTTAACTATGTAAAGGTAGTATTTCGGTTGTCACAAACAATTATACGTTTTGAAAACTTGAATGAAAAATTTATGATTTTTACTTTTGTGCATGATGCTCTATTTTAATGGATGGTAATCCTCATTTCTATGTAAATGTAGCTTGTGTTGGTTTTGGTTGCCATTAGATGGATGGTTCTAATTGTGTGTTTTGAATGAATGCCACTAATAGGTTTTTTATTCATTACATGATGGATGGATGCCAGTGATAGGTATTTTATTCATTGGTTGCCAAGGGGCCATTCAAAGAGGCCACCAATTAGTTATTTTGATGGATGGATGACAAATAGTTAAAGTAATACACAATGCCACTTTTGGGTTTTTTTTTTTTTTTTAATTAAATGATAATGCCCTGTTTTTGTAAATATGAACACAAATTGTTTTTTAAGGGACAAACAAAGGCTGTGATGCTCTGTTTTTTTCTTTTTTAAGAGTAAAACCTTAACACAAAATCTGAAACTTTTATTCAAAATACTTTCCTCATTACATTTTATTCATAATATTTCCCCCATTACATTCATTCATTCATAATAGTCTCCCTTATTACATTCTTTCTTACACTACATTACAAACCACATTGATAAAATGATGCACCATGAGGCAGCCAAGCATATCCATAGCTTTCTCTCTCTTTTATTCCTTGTCTGCAATCTTACTTCTAGCTTATTGACCTTTTTCAACAGCTCAGGGATGATTTGCACTGCCCGTGAGCACATAGGGAGGTCTACCCAGGTGAACTGTTTACAACCATTAGTGGGACAGTTGAGGAACCTCCTACCAGGATTTGCATAAGTCCATGATGTTTGTATCACCCTTCGTCTTCCACAGAAAATGCATCTTAGGTCTTCTATGTCACTTGAACTCTATGTTCCTTCAGTTGAGCTCGATCTTCCCAAATTTCTTGACCCTTTATTCCTCATTCTCTCTCACCACTGAAAAGATGCTCTGTTTTTTTTTTAACAGATGCTCTATTTTTTTTTGTTGGGGGCTTGCCTCTGTTATATAGTAGAAGAGAGAGGTTGCATATGGCGAGAAACCCTCTTATATTCCCTCCAAAAGATAGTTTAGCGGGACATCTCATCACATTCCGTCCAATTGTGGACGAAAGGTGACGATAGGGGTCTAATTGATCAATTTGTGAAAAGTTCATATACTAAATTAAAATAAATCAAAGTATGGGAGTACGCGTGAAAAACGCATGATAGTTTGAGGGGAAAATGATATTTCCACTTTCAAGTATTATATAAAGTTTATTCATGAATTAAACATAGATTCCTTACCTTAAACTTTAATTTCAAAAACTTTAACTAAAGCCCTTCTAATTCTTCTTGACCCTCCTCAAAAACTTGAGCTTCCCCTTCAATTTCTCTTATTTCCTGCAAATCTTGGATCTTCTCTCTCTTGAAGTTGAGTTCTCCTTTTTCTAAACTTTCTCCAGCATAAAGTTGAGCCAATGCTCAAGCAATACCTACTTCTCTCTCTATCTCTCTCTCTCTCTCTCGGTCCTCTTCCAATCTCTCTCTTTCTCACTTTTTTTTTTTTCCAGTTCCTTTCCAACACTTTTAGCACCCATGAGCGAGAAAACACACACACACACACATCACTTGTTGCCTCCATAATTCTAGAACACTCCATCACCTCATCTTGTATTATAATTTGACTAGGAATAACTCAGTACATTAATTACATTTTAGTTTAATTAAACACCACTTAATTTTAATAAATCTTGATTAGTACATAATTTAATTAATCATTACTAATCATAAATCTCACATAATTTAATTAATCTAATTTGACCTCCATCAAGGTCCAATTAATTATATTTAAATTTATTAATCTAAATCAGATTTTTAATCAAATTCCCAAAAAACTCCAAATATCAAATTAAACTTCTTACCATCATCAATTTTGGTTTCTTAAATCTCTACGGCCCTCAATTTCATATCAAACTCAAAATCTCTACCAATAAATTACATATTCAATTGAAAAACTCATAAATAAATTTAATTCATGATAATCTTAATTCTTAATCCTCATCATCACCTCATAATTCCAAACTAAACCCTTAATTAAACCATACACGAATTAGACTGAATAATTTCCATAAGTTTCAAATTAATGCAAAATAATGGACAATTAAAACCCAAATCTCCTTAGTTAATTGAATGCCAATTATTATATATGGTGCAGTTGTCACAGAGTTGGAGAAGACGACAACGACGATGAACTCCGATGATGGAGATGGAATTCATCGGAGAGAGAAGAGCAGAGAGACAGGAAGAGAGGGAGAGGCCAGTTTGATTTGAAGGGATCAAATTTCTCTGTGATATGTGGGTGTCGGGAGTTAAGGAACTTTAGACATCACAAAATAATATTGTGAATATCTTTCATTACTAAAAATGGAAGAGAGACCTTAGACTAATTTTCCTTTAATTAATTGCTTAGCCTTAGATGTGGTATGTCACATAGACGTCTTAAGAGGAAAATACAAAGGGAAAAATAAATATCAGTCAGTGTGTTTGGTTTGAGTTTTTTGAATTAAATTTTTTGAAAATTAATTTTTTTTATTTTTCGTTTTTTTTTTTGTTTTTAGTGAATATTTTTAAAATTTTAAGCATTTTTTTTCTTTTTTAAATGCATCTTACTTAGATATGTCTAAAAAGTAAAATATTTGTGAAAAAATATTGTAAAAAATTAATAAATACACAAAAATACAAAAAATTTATTGAATTTTCATATTTTTTTGTATTTTTGGTATTTAGTAAATTTTTTAAAGATTTTTTTTCACAAAAATTATACATTTTTAAGTGTATTTAAGCTAGGTGTGTCTAAAAGTTAAAAAAGAAATTACTTAAAATATTAAAAAAAATGCAGTAAAAATAAAAAAATACAGAAAAAAGAAAGTAGAATTTTCTGAAAAGTGTTTTTAGAAAACTCAAACCAAGCAAAGTGAGACAATTCTTAAAAAGTTAATTATTAATTAATTAAAAAAATTATTATTTTATATTTGTAAAATTTATCATTAATTTTTAAATATTTTGTAAAACTTCCACTGCCAGGTAATATTCCCAAATATAAAAAAAAAATTATTGCCTACCCATTTCATAAATTATCGCATGTTTTTAAAAATATCATGTACTTATGTACCATTAATGATATTTTGTAATTTATTTATTTATTTTTTAATTTTTTAATTCATGACTATAAATTATTGCCTACTTATTTCATAAATTATCACATATTTTTTTTAATATATCATATAATTATGAACTCGATTAACGATATTTTATAATTTATTTATTTTGTTTTAATTTTTTAATTCATGACTACATCGTTTATATTTTCTTTCAAAAGCCCCCAAAATATATAAAAATTTCTTTTTTCAATTATTCTTTTAACGCTATAGTTTCTCAATCAACCAACTCACTAAGAACAAACACATGCAAAATACTACGATTCGGTGAAGGACGTAAAATCCTAAAAATTCGTCTAATTTTTCTCTCTAAAATTTCTTATCAGTGGAAAGGGAGATGGTGGTAGTTCCCATGCCTCTTTGATCTCCATCTCCTCTCGTTTCCCTCCTTTTGATCCTTCTCTGATGTTTGCCTGTCATCACAACTTTATCTTCTCCACCTTCGAGCCCAAAACTTTAATATTGAGTTTCAGATCTTTTCACAGTTGAAGGCCAACATTAGATAGTGCATTTGTTTCACGTTAGCTAACCCTATCAATTTCAATATTATATCTTGACCAATTGAGGTGAACTCTTCAAATTTCAAGTCAAAGGCTACAGAGCATTGGAGTTTTGGATGAATTCAATAGTGGACTTGGCTGATTATTTTTTTCTATTTGATTTTCTTAATTTTTAATCTATTGATGTAATAATATGTTATGTGTGGAGGCATTTTTTCCTCCTGGAGGATGGATCCTTCATTCTATGAAAGTTATTTATCATTTTTTGGGATTTTGTGATACCATCTTTTATTAGTTTAATAATGAAAATTTTCTTCCCACTCTATTGAAAAAAAAACAAAAAACAACAACAGCAACAACAATTTGCAGTTTTACTAACGGCTCTTTTTTGTCACGAAACAACACCATCATCTGGCACCATTGAGGAAGATCTTTTTTTTTATTTTTTTTATTTTATGAAATACACTCTCTCATACATAGTGGGTGTTTCGGAAATTACTATTTTAGTAGGTTATTT